ATTTTTTTTTATTTAAGGGTTGTCTTTTCATTAGTTGAGAAAGAAGTATAAAAAAGGAAGTTTAACGGAAAGAGAAAGAAAGAGATAGTGGTTTTAAAGGAAAGTGCAAATGCTTTATTTTAATTTGAATTCTTTTTAGTCTTTGTTTATATACTTTATTTTATTTTGTTTTTATCAAGACTCATGACATTATCATTTAATTTTCAAAATGAATAAATAAAATTTTCCAAAATACATATGAAAAAAGAGTACAATTAACATTTTTGAGGTAATAAATTTGAAATGTGTATATGTACTTTACATATTACTGGCAGTAGACATCAAATGTAAATGCAGAATGTTATAAATGAATTGAATTTTCAATTTTAAGTAATTGGTTGATATTTTTAAATAGTTTACTGCACAATTGACACATTAACAGATAACAAAGCATTGCATGCAGTCCACTATTACGAATAATTGCTTGCGTTTACTAGATAATTGTGCGAATCTGCAAATAATTGCTTCTGCATCCAATTTTCTATGATCTTTTATCTTTGAAAATGTCTTCTCACATTGGACTTGAGTAACTGATAGTGTGCAGATGACTTTAAAACATTCTTATTCCTTTTTATTACAAAAACAGTTGTCTGTGTTTGATTCTTTATTTCATTATATATATATATATATATATATATATATATATATTGGCTCTCCCGTCAGTTTCGACGTACAAGGATCTGACAGCTTAATTGATTCAGTTATGAAATTTTGTGCGATAATCTTAAGTGGCACTTAAGACTCACTAGTGATTTACAAAGGAGGCCACATATGGAGCAAGAGTGAGGATTTTGAGATGAGATCACTGTTAGATTGGCTGACCTTTTAGATCTTGCTCTCACTTGAAGATGATCCAGACAAGCTGATTGAAAACTGCTGAGTCCATTAAAACACGTTGATCTCCATTCTACCCGCTCCAAGGCTAAGTGCTCAAGAGTCTTATGTGGTATATTGACAACTGACAGCTTTTCAGTTGCTTGTATCTTAGCCATGGGTGTCCTACATTCCTGTAGCCCTGATCTAACTGGCTGTACATTAGGATCTTGTGTATCCTGTCATCAGACATTCTCAAGACATGACCAGTCCACCGTAACTGAGATTGTATGATAAAAGTCTCGATTCCTCCAATATTACACCTGTTAAACAGGTCTACATTAGATGTCCTATCTTGAAGGTTAACTCCACAGACTGCATGCAGACAGCGTTTATGGAAAATATCCAGCTGGCGTATATGGTACCAGTATGGAGTCCACAATTCTGAGCCGTACAAAAGGATGGCAAGTACAACAGCTCTGTAAACTTGAATTTTCGTATCCAGTCAAATACCCTGCTCATTCCACAAGCAATGGCGAAGTTTGCCGAAAGCACTGGTAGCCTTAGCAATTCGATGCATCTAAAGTTCCACTGTAGTTGATTTTGCTACCAAGATAGGTGAAAGACTTTACATAGTTCAGGGCTTTGTCTTCTACTTTCAATGGTCTCTCTGGAAATTTGTAGACTGATGCATTTTGTTTCTCACCACAGAATTGCTTCAAAGTGCCATCAAATTAGCCTTTATTCCTTCATGAAAGGAGATAATGACCTTTAGCATACTTTCAGGGATGCCAAGTTTCCTCAAGATTTGTGAAAGAGCCTCTCAATTCACAGTGTCAAAAGCCTTTGTCAAGTCCACAAACACCATGTACAACTCCTGGTTTTTCTCGCAAACCTTCTCTGCAACTTGACAAAGAGAAAATATCATGTCAATGGTGCCACAACCTGACCGAAAACCTCACTGCAATTCAGGATAGATGTCATCAACATGGTGTATAATGATTCTGTTTAGAATCAGTCTAGCTAGGATTTTGCCTGCAATTGAATGTAGTGATATCCCTCGATGATTATCACAGCCACACCTGGAACCCTTGTTTTTGTGGAGGTGTTTGATAGAGGCGTCTTTATAATCCTGTGGGACACAGCCTGCCTTCCATATCTCCATGAGAAGGAGATTAATTTTTTTACCAACTTTTGGCCACCATGCTTATACACTTCGGAGCAGGTGATTTTCTAGATGGGATTTGCTTGATGGAGTCAATTACCTCTTGATAGGTAAGTTCAAAAGACAACTCCGGAATTTCAGGATTTTGCTCAATTGATGTGATGGCTTCCTCATCACTAACCAAAGTGGTGTTTAATACAGTCCTGTCCTTTGTATGATGATAAACTACATCCAGCAGCGAGTCTTCCCATCAGGAGATTGGAGGATTTAATCAAATCACTTGTGTGGGTTTTCTGGCAGTTTACCTTGATTCATTCTTATCCACACAGTTCACTTGCAAGGTCCGCTGGTGAGAGAGTGAAGGCGATGGTGTCAGGTAAAGGATATTACTGGAAGGCTCTAGCTGGAGCTCTACACAGTGGCAAACTGATGGGTGATGGCCGTTCTTTCATAAACCCATGAGCAATTGTGATGTCCATGTCCTCCATCGGTGACAAAGCAGCCATATTTAGGATTACACTGCTTTCCCTATTATGGGGAGGGGGACGATAAAAGGAGCCCTAAACATTGCTTGCTCACACAGAAACTTGGCAGCCTGCTGCAGCTGTCTGGTTATCCAATAAAGCAGCTGAAACAGCAAGAAAGATCAGAATAAATATAAAAAGAATTTCCATATTGAATCCTGGAATATTTGCACTCTCCAGGACAATGATTCTGCACCAGGCCAGGGTGTAATACAGCTTTTGTTTCTCTCTAGTTGACAAAATATAACATCAACATAGCGGACATTAGTGAAACACGTCTGGCTGGTAATTCTCAGCTTAGGGAAGAAAAAGGTGGATATGTATTTTTATAGGTTGACAAGACTGGGAAAGAGCCATGCCAGTCTGGTGTTGGCTTTTCCATCAAGTCAGACCTTGCTAGCTCACTGCCTTCCTTACCTTAAGGTGTAACAGATCACATAATGGCATTAACCCTCAATCTGGAGTGCAACACCCGTGTGACGATGGTTAGCTGCTACGCACCAACCTTAAGTAGTTCAGATGAAGCAAAAGATGATTTTTACAATCTCCTTCAGGATGTCATCTCCAAAGTCCAACATAAGGATAAATTAATTCTTACAGGTGACTTCAATGCTCGTGTTGGTAATGATTATCATTCTTGGAAGGGCATTTTAGGTCACCATTGTATTGGTCATGTGAATTCTAATGGATTATGCCTTCTCACTATATGCAAGGAATTTGACCTTAGTATCATTAATACCTTCTACCAGCAACGCAGCTGTTGTAAGACCATGTGGATGTATCCTAGTTCGAAAGACTGGCATCTGATCAACTACGTCATCACTAAAAGACGGGACATAAAAGATTTTAAGACACAACGTGCTATCTGTCAGATCACATTCTACTTCAGAGTAAAGCTACACTGCATCTGCAAAAGCAAAAGATTATAAAATCTACAGTGCCCAAGCGCATTAATGTACTGCCTCTTAAATCGACTGAAACGAAAATTGAGCTCTCTGACAAACTTGATGCTGCACTTGATTCTGTAAACATTACCAATGATATCGAATCATCTTGGAAAGCTCTGCGTGATGCAACATATTCTACATCCTTAGAGATTCTCGGTATACTACATTGTAAACATTAAGACTGATTTGATGACAATAATACAGAAGTTCAGCAGCTTATAGATCAATTGCACTCGTTTCATAAAGCATGAATTGAGAACAAGAACTCATTTGATAAGAAGATCTCTTACAAGAAGTGCAAAAGTCAGGTTCAACAAGCTCTCAGAGCCATGAAAGAGCGTTGATGGTCTGAAATGGCCACTGAACTTCAAGAAGCTTCAGATAGAAAGGATCTAAAGGCTTTCTATGCTGGCCTCAAGAGCATTTTCAGTCCTCAGAAAAGTGGTGTTGCACCAATTTCCACAGCAGATGGTGAAACTCTCTTGATGAATAAGTCAGACATTTTAGATCGCTGGAAAGAGCATTTTGAAACTGTGTTAAACACCACTTCAATATATATATATAAATTATAACTGATATGATTTTTAAGGTGTTTTCCTGATTTATCATTATTATTATAATATATATATATATATATTTATATTATTCATATATATTTATTTATATATGTATTTATATTATTCTCGCATCATGATTTTGTAACTGATGAAACGTTAAAAAAGTTTTCGTTTTTTTAAATATTGAAACAAGATGTACAGTTTTGTAGTGGGTATGTGCATGTTAAATGTAACACTGCATAATAAATATTTACGGTTCTACTTTTGTATTGAGCCCTGTTTTAAATTAATGTTTTGAATGCTGAAATCTTCTTTCTTTTACATTTGTATTGGGGGTGGGCAGTTGCCATTGGGTAAGAAGTTGATACCTTGGCCAGTCCGATCAGGTACATTATTAATTCGACGGTCCATCAGTAAAAAATAAAAATGCTTATTTTTTTGTTGTTAGTTTAAAAAAAAGAACAAAAGAAAGTTTTTCAGATTTTACATGTGAATGAAAAAAGTACTTTATTATTTAAAATGTGAAAAACTTGTTTAAAATCTTGATACTGGCTTTAAGTCTGTGGATCGAAATCACATTCAAATCAGACAGGTAGATATAGGTCGGACATGAAATACAATCGTCTCTAATTTGAAAGTCCTGAAACCAGCTGACAAGTCACGCCCACGTGTTCAACACCTAAACATTGTCGATTAGTCTCGTCTGTACTGAACAGCGCTTTATTATCTTCCGTTTGTGTCCATTATTTTCTTATTGTTGTTGTTGCGCTTAGTTTCGCCTGGTTCTCTTCTCTGCGTCGATGACGTCAGCAAACATGGTGGATATGGAAGCTCAGTTTGTTTACCGGTGACAGCACAGTCTTTCTCTTGGCTCTTTTTTTTGTTTTTTTTTTTTGATTTTTTTTAAACGAAAGCATTTTTTTTAATCCTCTCTCTTTGCTGTTTTTCAAAAATCATGGCCACACGGAGCCTAACGGAGGTTTTTATATTGATGCGAAATAATGCACTCCAAAGTCGCCACATATTTTCCGAACAAGTGAGTAACAACTGTCCTAAAAGTTGTCGGTCTCCGCTCGGTGACGACGACGATGGTGATGGTGATGATGATGATGCGGTGAGTTTGTCTCCCTCCAAAAATAGATTGATGGATTTAAAAAAAAAATCAAGAAAAAAGACTTTATTATTAAAAATATTAGTAATGATGATCATGGAATGATCCAACATCACCAACACTTTCCCCCCACACTTCCCTATTGTTTCTTTTTTTTTTTCTCGTTTTCCTCGTCTATCGATCCCATCAAAATCGTTCTCTCTCCTCCTCACTATTCATCTGTTTTGTTTTTTAGAAAATGCATTTAGCTTATTTTTATTTATTTAGACTAATTCTTTGTTTTGCTTCATATCTGAAAAAAAAAAAATAAAACATACAGAAAACAAAAAAAACTCCTAAGAGTAAGAAAAGTGATATTGAAGAAGTGTTGTAAATGAAAAAAAAAAGGTTCAGGTGTGTAAAGCAAATGATGTAAAAGACAATTTTTCAAGAATAGTAAAACAAAAATAACAGAAAATAAAAAAGAAGTTAAAAACAGAAAAATAAAAGTAAAACGATTTCATTTAACAACAAAAAAAAAAAGTTTATTGTTGATAAAAATAATTTCAAAATTGCAATACCAAGACTACATTTTTTTTTTTTTTTTTTTTGTACCAAAAACAAATCAAATTGATTTTAAAAAGGAAATGAAATTCGTAAAAACAAAAGCGAAAATAATTTTGAAAACATGTTTTCAGTCGTGATTCCAATTGAATAATAAAAATTCGTTTACAATATTTCTAGTTAAAAAAAAGGTGTTAAATGCTGTTAGTTAAAATATTGTGAAGACAGTATTTGATATGAGTCAAAGCAAAGAATGGTTTTATGTTGGTTTGCCTTGCTTTAGTTTTTTTTTTATCATTTCTCGTTAATTTTAATTTTTAATTAAAAAAAAAGATGTTTTTGGATGTCACGTTGCTTTCTTTTTCCTCTTTTCTCTTGTTAGCCTTTTTAACAACAATGAAAATACCGAAGTAGATTTTTTGTTTTTAAATAATTATAACATTTTTATTTTACTTAAAATAAAATTTATAAAAATATGTTTTTAAGTTGTTTTGTTTTACTTTGTTTTTAAAATCACCTAGAGAACAATTTGCTATAAAAAAACAACAAAAATAGATCTATAAATATATAAATAAAATAACACAGGGTAATCATGAGATTTTTACCTAAAAATACAAAAAAATTAACAATGCAATTAATTGGTAACGCAAAAAATATTTCTTCGGTTACGAATTTTAGTTTTTGACTCATTAATTTACAAATTCTAACTAAATATATTTATTATTTTAAAGTTAAGGATTATTTATACTTTTAGCAAAGCATAAGGTGGTTATTTGTTGTTTGTAAAATTTATTTTTGGTCTTTTATTTATATTTTTACTATTGCATGGTTTTTGAAGTCAGTTTCTCCTCCAAAATGTTCCATTCATTATTTAATAATTTTGCTTTTTTCGTCTGACTATATAATTCTGTACATTGTAGTTAAATTTTATTCTTATATAAATTATGTGGTATTGTACTAAAAATAACTAGGTATTTATTTTTGAGCTTATTTATTATAAAATGTGATAGGTAAAAATCGAAATTCCTCCATAAATTCAGAATAGAATCGAAGAAAAATTACCCTTTTTGTTTTTCTTTCAGAAATTTTTTCTGGCTTTTTTTTTTTTTTTTTTTAATATGGACGATATTTTTTATTTTAATGTTTTTACTGTTATTTAAAAAAGCTTTGCTTGAATTTGAGATATAATATAAAATAAAAACTCTTTTCATATTTTCCTTTTTAAAAGACTGTTTTTAGAGGGTTTTTTAATTTTCAATTGATTTGCACTTTCTGTGTTCTTCTTATCATCACGCTATCTGTGTGATGTCGTCATTTCTTCTTCTTCAGCATCTTTATTTTTTGTTGCCTTTCGTATCTTCATTCGTTGCTAAATATTTCGTTTTTAACTTCTGATAACTTAAAAAAAAAAACCCATAATAAATGACAATAACCAGCACTTGTTCTGGCCAGTGTGTGTCTGATCATTGACCCAATCATCATTATCTCTACCCCCCAATGAGACACACCTTGCTCTTGGCACCATTATTACCACCACCACCACCGGTCACAAGATTGTTATTAACACAAGAAGATAGAACAATATTATTATTATTATTGCGTTTTTAGATTTCACTTCCTTGTTTACGATCGTCTTTTATTTTAGCTTAGTCATCTAATTTTTTTTACGTTGGGTAGACCTGTACCCCCGACACGAAAAAGGGGTTTAAACCGTAAAATATCATAAAAAGAAGAATCCTTGACAAAATAAAAACAACTAATTACCCGGTGACCATATGTAAAAAAAGTAAAATAATAATTGCTAGGATTATATCAGAGATTTTAGAGTACACCTTTTTAAATTAGTTTTTAACTTTTTAAATTTAGATTTTTGCAGAAATATTTTCATTTTTATTTTGTGTAGCCTTTCTATATTAGAAAGACAAGTTTGTTTTCCAATTTCTTTTTTTCTAATAAATCGGCTAAAATAAAATCTACATATTGAATCAAAAACGATTCTTCCTAATTCTCTGCTCGAACATTTTTTTTTTTTACCTGGATTGATAAAAAGAAGTCATGACGACACCCTGCCTTCTTTAAAACTAAAACAAAATCATTTTGTGTTCAACAATTCATCTGCAAAATATTTGAATTGGAAATTCATTTTAAATTGACTTAAAGATTTAAAAATTAAAAAAACCCTACTATTTACAACTGAAATAATTAAATGATAAATAAATAAATAAATGACAATTCTTTTTCTTTTTTTTTTTTTTACACATTTTTACTTTTCTTTCTTTTTTGTTTCTGACAATGTGAAAATTCGTCTAAGGCTTCTTAAGCCAAGTGTAAGTAAGCCACATATTTTTTTTGCCTCATTTGATTTTTTTTTTTTTTTTTTAACTGTATTTTTTTATTTTTATTTTACAACTTCTATAGAAAACGTATATATTTCGAGTCATATTGAAATAAATTAAATTTTCCCTTAAAATTCTACTCGGCTACCAATTCCAAAAATTGAACGAGCTCTGCTCCATAAATACATGGTTTGAACAACAACAGGTGTCAGCCGATGAGAAAGATATGATACAACTAAAAATCTATTATCATGCTCTAATTAGTATAATTAAATTATATATTCAACACGTATGAAGTCGAGAGAAACAAAAACTAGAGAATAAAAAGCTATTGAAAATGGAGACATATCACTCAGGCTAAAACACAGTAGGAAAGAGATGAATGAAAAAAACACTTGTCTGCTGGTGACATTGCTTGCGCGTATATTATAGAGTCGCATGTCGGTGTTAGGCGTAATTGAATTACATGTTTGTGGCATTTAATGTACACGCAAGCCACCCCCGACACACAATTTAACTAATTTAGAAATGATACAGTTGAATATAATAAATTCCCTTCAGTCTGGATAACCCCTACCCTGGGATTAGCAATAAACTCATAAATGTTGGAGATAAAAAAAAATAATTATATTTAACTTTTTGGAATTTATTCAGTAATAAATGGGATATTTTTTACAATTTTTTTTCTTTATAATTTTGTATAAATATGTTTTCTCTGTCCTTGAATTAAAATATAACTTACATTCACACAATTAAACTGAAATTGAAATGGATAATTGTGTTGTGAGGATTAATTTCCCTTTCTGTCTGGCAACAACCACTGGGTAACAAAAGATTATAAACTCTTTGAAGCCATTTTTTATGTCCTCTATATTGAAACTGGATATATTTTCTATAGAAATATAATATTTTAAATGGCAAAATAATTTAGATTTTAAATTTGATAAGCTTGCTGAAGCAAAAGGTATCAAACTAGTTAAAATATTAATGGAAATTCTTCTTAACCATAGTCAATCACATTTGGGAATAAATCAAATCTGTTGTAGAAACCTAAGTAAAGACCCTTCTGGAGATATATTCAAATATATTATACTAATTATAATCTCCTGACATATATATATATATATATATATATATATATATATATATATATATAATGAATTCAAACTTGACTCTGATTCCTCTATCTGAGATGCTATCATTACTCCACCATATATATATATATATATATATATATATATATATATATATATATATATATATATATAGGATTGAGAATCATAGTCAAGTTTGAATTCATTACATTCACTTACATGCTAATATAATATCCTTGGGAAAGGTGTGAATCCATCTATGGGTAAATAGGAAGACAGACTGGGTCCTATAGCCTTGGGTGGTGAACAGTCTTGGAGTACAACTCTGAATTCAAAACCCATGTGGTTGTTTAGGGACCTTGTGTCATACTGTGCACCAGTTCTCTGTATTCATCACTTTCAAAAAGTGTGGTTGTTTCTGCACAAGCCTTCATCACTATAATCAGATCATATGTGCAGGTGTCTGGCTGTTGGTTCTAAGAACTGAGCTGCTTGGCCCTCATGCATTAAAAACAACAGGAGAGTCCAGTGTGTGTGTGTGTATATAACCAGTTATAATGATTTGTAGCAGTTTAATTAAGCATTAAATTATTATCAATTGATTTGTGTCATTTCACATAAGGAATTTATGGAATACATTTTTAAGAATAAAATTCACATTCAAAATTGTGCATATATTTTATAGCTGGAAAAAAGTTTCATTAAATTTACTGCTGACTTAAAAACTAAATTTTCAAATATAATCTTGAAATGTCTTTTGGTGCAAGACTTTCAGACAAAAGGGTGAGGTATGCTGAAAAGTCCCCAGTCTGATCCACTTCCTGAAAGCATACATTTCAATAACCATTTTTTTTTTTCTTTTTAGGGGGTTAAAAAATTTTAAGGAATATTTAGAAATAATATGCCAATTGTGTTGGACAGTTAATTGAATATAAGGAATACCATTTAAAAT